TCAGGGTAAGTACAGTCAGCTTTTTCAACACTCCCTCACGAAATGTACGTCTATATGAAAGGTGGACTTCCCCTGCTCTCCGTTTCAGCAGGAATGACCAAATAATGCACCAAACATGTTGTCCTTTTGCCTAGTTTCCACTTTATTTATATGTTATATACGGTATTTTATATTGAAAATAATACACACATATACATTGTACATACACAAATGTACACCCAACTGAACATTCTTGACACTGAAAATTAAAAGAAAATTAATGCTTCCCTTTAATTTCTATTCATTCATTCTACTCCTCTCTGAAGCAACAGAAAATGCTCTGAATACATTTTCTGGCTGGCAGTCTATTAAATATCTGAAGAGGTTCATTATGCAGTCTCTTCTTGATCTACTCTTTACCAGGGTAAGTACAGTCAGATTCATTCTACTCCTCTCTGAAGCAACAGAAAATGCTCTGAATACATTTTCTGGCTGGCAGTCTATTAAATATCTGAAGAGGTTCATTATGCAGTCTCTTCTTGATCTACTCTTTACCAGGGTAAGTACAGTCAGCTTTTTCAACACTCCCTCACGAAATGTACATCTATATGAAAGGTGGATTTCCCCTGCTCTCCGTTTCAGCAGGAATGACCAAATAATGCACCAAACATGTTGTCCTTTTGCCTAGTTTCCACTTTATTTATATGTTATATACGGTATTTTATATTGAAAATAATACACACATATATATACATTGTACATACACAAATGTACACACAACTGAACATTCTTGACACTGAAAATTAAAAGAAAATAAACTAAGCATGAAAGAACAAAACTTTGCATTGTATTTGCTTCTGAGTTCATCCTAACATAAGTATCTTTGCAGCTATGGTCCACAGATCAGTTTCCATGGGTTTTTAAAGAGAGAATTGCTAGGGGTTTAACACAAAAGATTTATCTTGGTTTTGTATAGCGATGAAATCATTGTTGATTAGTGAAAAAAAGAATAATTTGCAACCCACTAGACATTATCTCAGCTTGATTCGTATCACATAATATTAAATAGAAGCCATCATTCAATTCAGAGAGTTTCTGTCTATTAAATGCCATAAATACACCTCCA